ATATTGGACTTTCAGCTTCAACATCAGTCCTTCCAATGAACACCCAGGACTGATCTCCTTGTAGTCCAAGGGACTCTCAAGAGTCTTCAACACCACAGTTCAAAAGTATCAATTCTTCTGCACTCAGCTTTCTTTATAGTCCAACTCTCACATCCATACATGAATCCATTTAAATAGCTGAATATTTCCTAACTCTCAAGAAGCCAATTTACCTTCAAGTGAATTGCAAGATCTGGATTTTACCTACATGTAGGATCAGAATGTTCACGTAATTTTTAACAATTCATGGCCATAAGAATGACTAAATTGAAAGAAAAACTATATACAGTGTGTGAGGATGTAAAGTAACCACTACTCATATACTGCTGTGGGGTGTAAATTAATCACTTTGAAATACTGTTGGCAGTATCTAACAATGGAAAACATCTGTACATCCTGTGACCCAGGAATTCCACACCTACATGTATGCTCAAAGGAAATGCATACATGTTCACCAAAGATGTGAAGAAAAATGTTTGTAGCACTAGTCCTAATAGTCAAAAAGTAAAAACAACACAAATGTCTATCAACAGAACAGATAAATGATTATATACACACACAGATGAATACTACATAGTAATGGGGATAAATGATTCATAACTACACAAGCATGGATGAATCTTAGAAATAAAATGTTAAATGAAAGGAAGCCAGACACCAAATATATAACGAAGTGTATTTATCTTATATATGCCAAGTTCACTGAGATTGACAGTTATGTATTCTCACCGGTGTGTGCTGGTGGGGCACGCCTCAAGAAACTTTCCTACTGATGTTTCTCTACACCTAAACTTTTAAGTATAAGGTGGTGTTTGAAGGCAACCTAAACTGGCTTACTACAACCACATCCCTTTGAAGTCTTGTGTTTTATATCTTAAAAACACATGTGAGTTCCATATTCTTCACTCATGCACACTGAACAGAAAATTTACCTCAAAAAATATTCAAGGAAAATGGGCCCCAGTTATCTGGTGATTTGGGCTTCCCTGGTGGCTGACGGTAAAAAAAAAAAAAAATCTGCCTGCAATGCAGGAGACAGGAGTTCGATTCCTGAGTCAGGAAGATTCCATGGAGAAGGGAATGGCTACCCGCTCGTATTCCTGCTTGGAGAATTCTATGGATAGAGGAGCCTGGTGGGCTATAGTCCGTGGGGTTGCAAAGAGTCGGACACAACTGAGTGACTAACACACTATCTTGTGGTTACAGTACTCTGGTACACTACCTCAGAATTTAAACGAACTGCCAGACAGTAGTTTGGTTACGGTTAGGGGTTAGGCAGCCTGTTCACATCTCAGATTCACCAATCATTAGCGCTTGGGCTTTGGGCAACTTATCTAGATATTTGGAGCCTATTTCTTCATTAACATGATAAAGGTAATTGTATATCTGTCTCACAGATGGTCTTGAAAATTAAGTGAGATGATGTAAGTTGGGTAACTCAATCTTCCTAACCTCTTCCTTCCCTATTCTGGAAGTAGTACTGGGGTGGAAAAAAAGTCAACAAGCTGTTTGCTGCAATATATATATTTTAATTCAAAGTGAATCGACAGTAATACACCATAAATTCTTATTTTGACACTCACCAAAATAGTCACCTGGAAAACCCGCTTTTTGTGACAAAGTACAGAAGGCTTGGTCACATTTAAATCACTGAGAACTAGAGAGAAATACTATCGCAAACCGTAATAGACATTACATCCATAAAATTTTTCCCAGTCCTTATTGTAATATTGCACAGTGCAATTGCTACATGGCAAACTAGTGTAGCATAGAAGTAAAAGCAAAAACAAACAAACCAAAGAAAGAAAGCCACAAGTCTAAAATTGTTAAACAGTTAATAGCTCAAACTTAGTAATCAAACCTATATCATTGGGTTCTTTAAAACAAATCTTCCTACACCTTGCAGTGTATGATTTAACTTTTACTTAACACAAACCAACTTTAGAATTAGTAGTAGAGATTTTTTAAATGAAAAAGTTTTGCTACTACAGTAACATACTTAAACACCCTGAAGGAAAAAGAAACAAAATACCAGGATATTTGATTAAAAAACAATTTGTAAATTAAAATAGTATGCAAATATGCAACTTGGAATTCATGCAGTGTTTTATTTAAGAGAGCATTAACACAAAAGAAAACTGGTAAAAAAAGGTTTTAAAGAGGGTACAAATCCAGATTCTTTTGTCAATATGCTAAATTTAGACTTTGGCAGGATCTTGGAATTTTTTTTTTTTTTCTTTTTAAAAAGTCCATGATTAGAATCATCTAAGAGCAGTGTATTTAACTCGGGTACGCCTTTATCAAAAAGGACTGTTATATTATGAAAACACTGAAGTTTATCATTTACTGTCAATTTAACAAGACATCACAGTCTTGGAACTGAAATACAGAAAATATGACATTTCAGGGTAGTAAACACAGCCCTGAACAAAAAGAAAACTGTGCCAGTTTTGTACCGGGTACAAACATCAATCTTTCGCCCTTGGTGTTTCTTAAACATGCGCTGCCAGCACTCATTCTTCTCCAACAAGCGAGCAGATACCAGTAAACTGCTGGACCAGATAAATAAAATTAGAAGGCTGTGGAGGGCAGCAAGTTTACTTAAATAGTGACTCCATAAATTTGCCATCTGTAAATAATCTTTTAAATTAATCTTAGGCTATTCCTTTTATGTGTAATATATATATATTTCTATTTATATAAAATGCATAGAATTGATTACTAAAAACACTGAAACTTGTGGGGAAAATTAAGTCCTTCATTTTCAGTGTGACTAAAAACGTACTGCTGGTTTTTATTTTATGATCTAATACTGTAATTTTTAAAATTAATATCAGGCACATTTATTTCATCGATGATTATTAAATAAAACACTGCTTGTATTAATGGAGTAAAGAAAAGTTTATCCATTATTAGCTTATTGTCAACGCTGTACTAGATCTGTACTAGTGGTATGCAGTTCATTTATCAAAGAAATGCTGTAAATCCAAAACATTTGGAGAGTTTTACACTCAAATGCTTTGTACTGTTTCTTCCAGTAAATGGTATAAGATTATATTCCAGATTTTTAAGGAAAAAAAGTTAAGTCAAGCCTGCAAGATACAGCTTTCTCAAGTGTCTACAATGCCAGTATGAAAATAAAAAATTAAGTTACATTGATACATCCAAGTTTTTTTATATGCAGTGATGAGCACAAACATTAATAGAGATAAAATACTGATGCAAATAACACACCCCAAAATAACATACGCAATTATTTTCCATCATTTACAATACAGTAGTTACAATGACACTCCAAACAGAAAAGCAAAGTAAAAAATCAAAACCCCAACTTCTATTCCATGTAATTAGACTTATACAGAAATTAGAAGGCTAAATAACAACTAGTTAATCACCTAATTTCACAGCTATCTGAAGTGGCAATCGTTATATAGCAGCTTATCTATGATACATTCAAGATAAATGATACAATTTATTACTTGCCCATAAGCTAAAACACAGCCTGTTTAATACCTTCCTTTAAATTCCACCTCTACACTACAATATACTTGAGGTCTATGCAAAAAGTAGCTACCTTTTATATAGGAAATGGATGATTAAGTCTTTGGTGCTGTAAAAGCAACTTCATTTAAACATAACCACCACCACCACCAAAAAAAAAAGTAAAGAATAAAGAGGGAAAAACCCAAGACATACTTCCTAGGAAAAAAAAGCATGTAATTTCTGTCCCTGACGGAATGTATTAAATAAGCAAACACCACCAACAAGCAAAACAAGTACTACAATGTAAAAATACTAAAAAAAAAAAAAAACCCCTCACATGCATAAATGAAAAATTGCACACAAAGAACTCACATCTTTTCAAGCTTCAATAGTAAATATTCTGCTACTATTTATTAAATACTGCATGGTTTGCCCAAGCTAGGATGAAACCACATCATGAATCAATGAGCATTTTGCATTTTCTTTCATTATCTACTCAAAGTCATGCCTACTGCATCTCTAAACATTTTATTAAATCCAATTATACAGCAAACACTCCCAAAATAAACTTAGATTGTATTGCAGTTTCACTTAACAGTATATAAAATGCTGTGTTGTGACAGATATCAACTATTCATTAGATACTGAATCAATTTTTCTTAAGCACTACTACCTGCTTGCTTTTCTTGAAGCTAGATCATTCTGAAAAGTCAGACAGCAGAATTCAGCTATTGCAAACATGCTGCCCTCTTAGTAAGGAAAAATAGCTACAACCTGAAATCATACCACACAAAACCAAAAATGAACATTACTCTATCAAAAGGAAACTAAAGAGTAAGTCTGAATTTTTAAGTGCTGCAGTCCTCAACATTTATATATAGTAATAACATTAACAACCTCAAATATTTAAGGCACTATGTGTGGGAACGGTTTACAATGCAGCTGAGATTATTAGAACAACATTTAAGAGCAAAGTCTAGGCAACATTTTGCCCATGCAAAGACACATGCAAATGTAAAGAACAATAGCTCAATTTCTTAGGTAAGTGACCCAACATTTACACACTAAGACACAGATAATACAATTCACTTGTATGCTGTGAGTCTGACATATGTGCATCTGTTGCTCTAAGTCTGTACACAGAATGGCTTCCCAAATATGGACGTGTCTTGCACTAGTTAGAAGGCAATTTTATAAAAAATAGCAGGAGCAAAAACTGGACTTCTGCTCCCATAAGTCACCTGTCTAGAGTTACAACATAAGAAGATAACATGACCAAAGACAAGTTATACCAAATGTGCAAAACACATTAAAAGTGAGTTTTTTTTTTAAAGCTCAAAGTTGTTTAAATTGCACCCAAGTCTACATGATTCAAAAATAATTTTCTTGTGCCATGGCTAATATTTATTAAATACCATGTTTTATTTTTAATCAAATGTTTATATCATTGAGCTTCCTCAATATACTCTTGTGAGTTTTCACATATATGGATACTGGCTGAGTTTGGTTGGACTCAATGGAAATCCAGTATATGCAGGTGATGCTGCAATGTAAGAATGTGGTGGGAAGATTGGTTTGTACTGAGTCTGATGAATGGTTGGGGATGGTAACAGACGGGGGTTTATGCCCACTGGGACTTGGTGAACTATGCCACTGGGATGGGAGATATTGTAAGTCGGATGCTGTAACACAGGCCTTGAGGTACATGGAGAGGCTAAGAGGTGGGCCACAGGTGCAGCACTGAGGGCAGCTGATGACGGGTATGGAAGTAGAGCAGGCTGTCCTCCGAGGTGCGTGCTTGCAGCCAGATGGGCGTGCACAGCGGTGTGATTAGGACTTCCATGAGAAAGAGTGAAAGGATTACTGGTAACGCTAGTAGGGATATAAGCTTGCTGCCTTCGGTGTCCGAAGTTTCCATTCCACTCCTGATGCCCAGACCCAAAGTGCTGAACCTATTCAAAAACAAAAGATGAATTACATGTTTTATAAATCACAAAGAAGAAAAAAAGGGAAATCAAAAGATACTGTGACTAAAAACCTATAGGGGATCTCTCAGATCTTAGCTTACATTAAGGATAGAGAAGAATTCTCTCAGGTTGTCTAAAGAAAACCTAAGAACCTAATCTTTCTAAAGAATTCAAGTTCCATGGATAACCTGATAATTATCCTATTATTAAGCCAATTACTTTTCAGTCACTTGGAATAATGAAAATGGAAGTGTTTATTAAGATTTTACACAGTTTGAGAATCTTTTTCTCCCAATTAAAAAACTGCTGAATTTGAATCCCAAAGACTCATAAATTCACAAACATACCTGACTAAAATTCAAATGCTGCTGTTGGAATGCTGATGTCAATTTTTGCTGACGATTACCAACTGTGGAAGGCTGGTTTAATCTTCCAGGGGCAGATCGTCCTTTTATTAATGGCTGGCATATAGAATCTGGCAACAACAAAATATTAGAGAGTAATATTCCTTCTCATACAAAAATTATGAAAGGTCTTTAGATATTTTGCACAACAGTGATCTGAGAACCTTAAAGTTAAATAAAAAGTAAAGATCTCCTAGTTTCCAAGCACTGGATAATTAGAAACGATTTCTTTTGTACAACAGATTTGGCAGGGACAACTCAGAAATTCAGAGATGACTTTTGGTTCTGATGTTTCCAAATTAATAAGACCTTTAAAGGGACAATCAGGGAAATAGAGAGGACTCAGTTTACCTGTGTTTGCCATATGCTCATCGGCATTTAATCCATTTTCCAGTCCCATTGGTGGCACCACAACAGTACAAACAGTTGGTTTGGTTTCTGTGTTAGTAGAAGTTACCAATTCTGCATTCTGATGAGTGTCCTCCACAAAACTGCTCTCTGCAAATGGACTGTCATGTCCTGAAGAATCTGATGTTGGAGAGCCATCCACAGTATCACAGCCACTTTCTTGTTCTTCATCTGACATACTAAAAGAAAATATTTGTACCAATATTTTTGAACCTTAAATCTAAAGTTTAAAATCTAAATAATTTCCAAACTCCACCAAACTGATAAGATCTTATTAAATCATTTCATACCTAATTATAACTTCTTCCTTACCCCAAACATATTTTTCATAGATTCCCTAGACTCTCACATTAATTCTCTATTTGGACTGCTAACGCTATTTCTGTCTGTTTAAGAACACCCTCTTGGCATTTAATTTTCCCTCCTCTTTTCACCTGATCCTCAGTAGCAGTTCATAAAATCCTATCATAAACTACTGAAGGTTTCATCAAGATACTACAAAAGAAGTACTGTTCCAGACAACTGAAATGAAATGTACAAACAAAACAGGCAACCTGGATATTTGAGATCAAATTCTAATAAATTAGAATTATTAATAATATTATAATATTAGAATTATCACTAATAATTGAGTGATAATTTGGGTCCTTTTAACTAACCAGTTATTCGAAAGGCCTTTCCTAGCTCTCTGAAAGCCTAACCACCCGGAGCCCAAATTTCTCTTCTCGTCCTAATCCTTGAGGCCCCCCGGCCACCTTGGGATTTTTATTGCATTTATTCTGTTTTAACCACTCATTTCATACTTAAAATTTGAAGTGTATCTTTTTATATGTATATTTTACATATATATATTTTTATATCTTACGTGTGTGTGAGACGTGTGTGCACATGCACACACACACACATATATCATGGGGCTTCCCAGGTGGCTCGGTGGTAAAGAATCGGCCTGCCAAAGCAGGAGATGCAGGTTCGATCCCTGGGTCAGGAATATCCCCTGGAGAAGAAAATGGAAACCCACTCCAGTATTCTTGCCTGGGAAACGCCATGGACAGAGAAGCCTGGTGGGCTATATAGTCCATGGGGGTCATAAAAAGAGTTGGACACAACTTAGCAACTAAACAACAACAAATGCATAGTATCAACTTGCAAATCACATTATAAACAATTTATAAGAAGATATGTTAATACTATTTTAGATTTCCACAGAGCTTTGGCTATAAGTATTAAAAACCGTATTTCCGGACTCAGGGGAAAAAAATAATAAAATTATGACTGAAAAATTTTTCCACTATAAAAAGAATGTCGAGCGGAAATCAAACGTATTTCACTGTAAGTTTTACAGCTCATCTCTTAATGAGATAGTACATTATGCAGGTTAGGAGTCATTCACTACTTCAGTGGTAATGCATATTCCTGGCCGAAAGGAAATACAGATAAAACCAGGCAAATCAATCACTAAGAGAGAAAAAAATCAAAGCAAATACTCTGACAGTGGGTCATTACTTTATAATGTAAAACATTCTTTTTTGCTAAAGTAATGCTAAAGTATAAAGTTGCTAAAGTATATGTTCTTATTCTAAATTTAAGTTACATAGTAGTCTATGGAGCTGGAGCTGAGGATGTGACTTTTTTACCCTTTCAAAAACAAATGATTTTTTAAAAACCATTTATTAGAACCTCAATTTTTCATTTAGATCTGTTCTGTAATAATAAAGAAAATTCCTACTTGAAACCTGAGTTTATAAAAGGTGATCTAGTTCAAAACTTATGAACAAGAGAGAGCCACTGTGGTAAACTGGCAGGTACTAGTTTAAACAACAATGAAAGAAAGCATAGGCTTTTTAGTAGACTTGTTTATAATACACTGCCATTAAAATTCCTTTACCTGTTTGGTCTCTTGCAAGGGGATGGACTGGACTGCCCCGAGGAGCTGGTGCTCAGAGTACTATCTGGGCTACTTAATGAACACATCCGATCGATGTTCAAAGTGCTCTGGCAAGCTTCACAGTCCAGATTACCTTTGCATCTAGTGAAGAGGGAAGATGAAAACAGGTCAAAAATGAGAACCTACTCCCCAGATATGAAACAGTTAAGAAAAACCTACATGGATAAAAATCTAAAGCTTGTAAATACAGGAAAAATGCTACAGTAATCATGCTAAATTGGCTTCCCTGATAGTTCAGTTGGTAAAGAATCCACCTGCTATGCAGGAGACCCCAGTTTGACTCCTGGATCAGGAAGATCCCCTGGAGAAGCGATAGGCTACCCACTCCAGTATTCTTGCCTGGAGAATTCCATGGACTGTATAGTCCACGGGGTCGCAAAGAGTCGGACACGACTAAGCGACTTTTGCTTTCAATCATGCTAAATACCACTCAGGAAGTTTACTCCGAAGGACATTAACAGATGATAATAAATCACGAAGTTTTTTTTCCACCACAGCAGAGGATGCCATCATCGTTATTTAAGAAGTGAAGTGAAGTCGCTCAGTCGTGCCCGACTCTTCATGACCCCATAGACTGTAGACTATCAGGCTCCTCTGTCCATGGGATTTTCCAGGCAAGAGTACTGGAGTGGGTTGCCATTTCCTTCTCCAGGGATCTTCCCCACTCGGGGATCAAATCCGGGTCTCCCACATTGTAGGCAGGCGCTTTTACCGTCTGAGCCACCAGGGAAGTTGCAAAATTTAAGAATGTTGCAAAATTGCAGGAATCTGCTTTCGGCACTTACTCTCGGAGTGAATGTCTCTGCGAGGACGCCTCTTCCTCATCGGTGTCGCTGCTGATGGTGATCACGCTCACCGCAGGACTCGGGGAGTCAGCAATGATGATGGTTTGTCGCTGTTTATCTGAAACTGATGAATCAGAGTCCTGCCTGATGGATGTGTCACAACAATTTCTTGCCTCTCCTTCTGAGTTACGATTGTCCTGTGTTTCTATACAACTTACTTCCTCGACATCTTTCCCAGCTACTGTCTTTGGGGAAATAAATGCTGATTGTGGGATATTGGTATTCTGCAATGAATTACTCCTGCAATCAAAGGAATAATGTGTCATTTCTATAATCAAAATATATACATGACATTTTTCCAAAATACCAAGTTATAAGTAACAATACGAACCTCCACTTGTTCAAGATTATGCATATGACACACTAAGACACAGACCATGGGTCTGTGATATATGAAATCTCTAGGAACAAGTGTAGATGCATTTACTTATATTCTAATGGTCTTGTTTTTCGGTGAATGTGATTCTGAGTGTCTAGAATTGTCTAACGTTATAGGTAGATAATAAATCAAAAGGGCAATAAAGACAATCTTACCAACTGAAAGCATTTATTTCCTCTCTTCCTGGCTCCCATTCCATTAGTTTTACCAAAATACCTCTGAGAAATTGAGAAGGGAGCTTAGCTTAGTATTTGTAGCAAATCTATCAAAGAGGGAATTCTGAATACAACAGGGTGACCCTTTGGTGTGCATGCAAAATTTATTTTAATGATTCATTTTCAAAATGCAGAGAAAAAGTTAAAATATCAATACTAACCTGTTCTGGCACAGTTTATTTTTCTTGGTAGTGGCTGGCTGAGGCCAAACAACATGTGCAATGCTGACACTAATTGGCTGAGGGGCCGATAAAGTGATCTGATTAGTTAGAAGAGGTTGTGGCATCACTGAGCTATAATGATTGCCGTGTGAAATCATCTTCCTATGGAGAAAATTTAGAAAAATTGAATCCCTATGTTACCATATGTTATTTTGCAAACGACTCACAAAGAAGTATTTTTGTTTTTAACTTACCCCCAGTCTCCGAGCCTTTGTGAACCAGCCACACCCTCCGAAGATAATGCAGTAGTAGCAGGAGCCAGGGGTGTTACCTGTTGCCAGGCAGGTATCAACATCTGCTGTGTCCTACCGGACCACGTCTGCTGCAGCAAAAACAGCAAAACCAAAAGCAAAAGAAAAACTAGTATGTTACAAGTAACTCAAAGTAACAATCCCCTAAAAATTCCAAAAGCTAAATTCAATAATCTTTAAGGAAAGAATTCCTGTCTAGGTCATTTTCATTATTTCCAACAGCACAAGCCCATGTATTACCGATGGATTAAGGACTCTACTTGAGTATGAGAAGGACAGCACATATGCAAAAATAACGAATGATCATCACCAACCTGAGAAAGAACTCCTGGTCGGATCTGCAGTGGCTGCACAGCTGGGGCCTGAGTTACAAGGGGAATGGCATTATCCACCCTTATGGAATAACTAGTGGGTTTACCATGTGTCGCAGGAATACCTATGAAATAGAAAAGAATAGTTTTCAAATAAAAGAAAACTTTTCTCTGAGTTATCTTTATAAATTTATGAACTGCTAAAATTCTTGTTAGGATTATAAAAAAATCCCCTGCATAATACTCTATGTACCTTGTGGTGCATCATTCCAAAAGTTGTTATAAAGCTACTCTTTCTATTTTACAATACATAAAGTTGAATAATTTATTGTTTATGAAATTTCTCTTTAAAGTTTGCTATTATACTTTTTCTTTTTTAAAAGTTCTGCCATTGATAAGACACAAAAAGATGAACCTGACTCAAAATCCTTATCCTCTAGCAGGTAAATGTTCATCTTTTTACAAACTTCAAGCTGTGCTTGGTATTCTCTTGTTTAAAACTCTAATAGGATCTTACACCTGTGTCTCGAAAGGGGGACTGTACCACAGCTTCAATGGCCATGACAGTGTATAGGAGTCAATAAAATTCAGGATGGCACACTCATTTCAATCTCCTAAGGAAAAACAAAAAGTAAACTTTTCTGCCTAATATGATGATGCAACTGAGCTTTGATCATTGTGATTTAATTTACTATTATTTCTAGTGGAGAGCTATTGGAACTCCAGGAAAAACACATGCCATTTTGCTTATCCCCTAGGAAAATTAGAGGCAGGATTACTACCCAGGCTAATACTGTTAATGATAGTATGTCTGTCATACATTGCAAGAGCACCTTGCAAACATTAAGACCCACAGTACTAAACTTTAAAAGAGTAAAGAAGTGTTACTCAACTAAGAACTTTAACTAATAAGGTAGTAGGGATATCTCCTAAGATCAGAAAGGCCAGTTACTAAAATAAATTCACTATTTCATAATTCCAGTCTATTGCAGCATTTACTTTCAATATGGGCTGGCAGATTATTTAAAGATAATTAGTTTTTGGATAAAAGTGATCTTGGGTGATCAGCCATTAAAAAAAAATTGTCTTCTTTTCCTACTGAAAAAAAACCTTACATTATTTATTGCATGAGTACACAGTAACTGGTAATTCTAAGGAAGTTAATTTTATTGTGTTTATTTTCTCCAGAGCCTTTTATCCTACTGCTAAGGGTGCTCTACCCTCTGAGCTCCACCTAAAGAGCTAAATGTGAATTAAGTTAACAAAGATCTATGAGTTATTTTTTAAAACTGACCTTCTTACCCTTTCCAAAAAGCATGTCTTGAACAGCAAATTCTCCAAGAAATGGTATATAAGTACACCCAGGCTGTTTAGATATATTGCAGCAACAGAGAATCTCATCAGAGAAAAATGCAGAATTCACTTTGATATGGATGAAATCACAGAGTGAATTCTTAAATCCCATCCCCCCATATTCAGGTTGCTCTTAAATTCTCTTCATAATCAAAGCCTTAAGATGAGAAGAATTCTCTTACAATCTCTCAAGAGGTTGAGTCTTTTTTTTAAATCAAATTCAAAAGGAGGTTAAAATTCCAATTTTCTGTATGGTTATAAGCTAAAACGTTAATGATTAGATTTGCTTGATATCTGGAAAGCATGACACAAAGAGCTCAAAGCCTATTCTAGTACAACAGGGGAGAATTTTGCTGGAATGTATTTGATTCTGAAATAGCAGTTTTCATCCAGAAGGGATGAATTAACTAGCTTTTCAGATCATGAAATAATGTGAAATGCTTGTTCACTATATACAACCTATACTCAGATACGTTAAGTAAAAGCCTGTCTAAGTCTTCTGTACATAAAAACAGCACAATATTAGGGATGTGGTACCTATTTAGCTATACCTACATATTATATCTATAGTATCTAAAATACATGAAATGCATGCTTAAACAATATAGCTCCAAAGTAAAAAAATAAAAAGTGAAGTACAACAAACATAAATTTTATTTTAAAATGCAAACTATAATGGTACCATAACTGCTACTCAATAATCATTTTAAAATGTTTCATCGAAATGTTGTTGTCATTCAGTCATAAAGTCACATCTGACTCTTTCCGACCCCATGGGCTGCAGCACACCAGACTTCCCTGACCTTCACTATCTCCCAGAGTTTGCTCAAACTCACATCCATCATGATGGTGATGCCATCCAACCATCTCATTCACTGTCATCCCCTTTTCCTCCTGCCTCCAATCTTTCCCAGTGGCCAGAATCTTTTCCAGCCCTTCACATCAGGTGGCCAAAGAATTGGCGCTTCAGCTTCAGCATCACTCCTTCCAATGAATATTCAGGGTTGATTTCCTTTAGGATTGACTGGTTTCACCTCCTTACTGTCCAAGCAACTTCTCAAGAGTCTTCCCCAGCACCACAATTCAAAAGCATCAATCAGTCTTCGACATTCAGCTTTCTTTATGAATTCTCACATCTGTACATGACTACTGGAAAAACTACAGCTTTGACTATATGGACCTTTGTTGACAAAGTGATAACTCTGCTTTTTAATACATTGTCTAGGTTTGTCATAGCTTTCTTATCAAGGAGCAAGTGTCTTTTAATTTCATGGTTGCAGTCCCCATAAATGGTGATTTTGGAGCCCAAGAAAATAAAATCTGTCACTGTTTTCACATTTTCCCCATTTACTTGCCCTGATGTGATGGGACCTCTGATGCTACGAGGATATTTTTTAATTTTTTAAACATTGTGTTTTAAGATAGCTTTTTAACTCTCCTTTTCTACCTCATCAAGAAACTCTTTAGTTCCTCTTCCCTTTCTGCCAATAGCATGGTATCATCTGCATATCCGAGGTTGTCAATATTTCTCTTGGTAATCTTGATTCCAGTTTTTGATTCACCTAGCCTGGCATTTTGCATGATGTACTCCGTAAAGAAGTTAAATAAGCTACAGCCTTTCCCAATTTTGAACCAGTCTGTCGTTCCATGTCCTGTTCCAACTGTTGCTTCTTGACCTGCATACAAGTTTCTCAGGAGATAAGTGGTCTGGTATTCCCATTCTCTTAAAGAGATGGGAATTCTCTTTAAGAATTTTCCATAGTCTGTTGTGATCCACACAATCAAAGGCTTTCACGTAGTCAATGAAGCACATATAGATGTTTTTCTGGAATTCCCTTGCTTTATGATCCAAACGATACTGGCAATTTGATCTTTGGTTCCTCTGCCTTTTTAAAATCCAGCTTATCCACCTGGAAGTTCTTCGTTCACATACTGCTGAAGCCTAGCTTGAAGGATTTTGAGCACTACCTTGCTAGCATGTGAAATGAGCACAAAGAAATAGAGGAGAACAACAGAATGGGAAAGACCAGATATCTCTCCAAGAAAACTGGAGATGTCAAGGGAACATTTCATGCAGAGATGGGCACAATGAAGGACAAAAATAGCAAGGACCTAACAGAAGCTGAAGATATTAAGAAGAGATGGCAAGAATACACAGAACTATACAAAAAAGATCTTAATGACTGTGATAACCACAGTGGTGTGGTCACTCATCTGAAGCCAGACATCTTGGAGTGTGAAGTCAAGTGGACCTTGAGAAACATTAATATGAACAAAGCTAGCAGAGGTGATGGAATTCCAGCTGAACTATCTAAAATCCTAAAAGATGATGCTGTTAAAGTGCTGCACTCAATACATAAGAAAATTTGGTAAACTCAACAGTGGCCACAGGACTGGAAAAGGTCAGTTTTCATTCCAATCCCAAAGGAAGGCAATGCCAAAGAATGTTCAAACGACTGTACAACTGCACTCATATCTTCAAAATAGACTGGCACATTATGAGACAAAGGGGTAGGAAGACCAACACTGGGATTTTCTACAGAAAATCCAAAATGGATTAGAGGAAAAACTTTCCTTTCTAAGCAGCCACTATACTAAGATAAGAAATAATGAGACAACATATTATAAAGCCTGCCTGTTATGCTGCTGCAACCACACCTATTAGTTCAATAAGCGAGCAAATATTTTGCTTTGTCTTATTATTAATTCCAAAACTATTGTTCTTGACATCTGATCAGTTAACGACTCTGAGAATATCTCCTTTTCCTTCTGTTATCCTTGTTTGAACCACTCACAGCTGTTATATGGCTTGCAGGATCTTAATTTACCCACCAAGGATCAAACCAGGGCCCCCAAGAAGCAAAAGCCCAGAATTCTAACCATGAACCCCCAGGGAATTTCCTGCTACTCCAGATCTTGATGAAATACACCACACTGTAAGTAGAAGGCAATCCCCAAATTAATTTTGGCACATGGAAGAAAGAGTAGAACCTAACAATGTATTTTTTGTTGTTTAGTCACTAGGTCCTGTCTGACTGCAGCCCATCAGGCTCCTCTGTCCATGGATTTCCCAGGCAAGAACACTGGGTGATCTGCCATTTCCCCCTGCAGGGGGTCTTCCCAACCTAGGGATCCAACCCATGTCTCCTGCACTGCAGGAGATCCTTTACCACTGAGTCACCAAGGAGGAAACAACCTACCAGTACAGATTAGACCCATCTATATGAACAGGTACTCGCCAAGATACCACTTAAGTAGCAACTGACTGAAAAAAAAAAGCATCAGTTTTGTGTGCTCAAGTATTTAGAAGTAAAACATCTATGACTATTAACAGTGTGTGTATGTGTAATAGATAGAATAAATGTAACATGTTAATACTTGTTGAATCTAGAGTAGAAGGCATTAATATTATTTGAATTTCTCTATACGCTCAAAATGTTTATAATAACAGTTGAAGAAAAACAAAGAAACACAACAGCACCTTTAAGAGTGTTGACAATATGCTATAGGTATTTTTATTACCAGATAAGCCATGGGTCACTGCCACAGATAACAGACCAAAGCTACCCTGGGAAGAACCAAAGTGGCTGAAGAGCTGCTGTGTTTTCACCTCTCTCATTACTAGTCAAGCAAGTCAACAAACACACTCTTGGTGCTTTTTAGATACTGTGCCGGAGATTAAAATAAAAACTTCAAAAAGTTGCTCATATCCTTAAATAAATATTTAACATATCACCTTCAGAATCCAGAAATATTAGAGCTGGAAATGATCAAGAGAACAGCCATTCCATCTATTTTCTTTGACTAAGGTTGAAGCAAGTTAACAAACTTGTCTGGGATGGCAGAGCAAACAGAAGAAATAAGAACTAGGTCCCAGGCATCCTGACTTAGCACCAAGAGCTCTCACTTATTATTAACAGCATTACAACACGTCAAACGGTCCTTTCAGGCCCGTGTGAAATCTCTTGATTTTAAGATTTAGATGTTACAGCCTAGCAAGGACAAGATGATAGTACAGGACCTAGCGAAGAGGACTTCATTCTAGTTATTCCAGCCAAAAAGTTCACTGCTATTACTCTCCTACCACAAAGAAGTTCCTCAGTGTGAGAATTTATGCCTCTTCAAAGGCATTCTGTCATTATCTCATTTGAGGATTTGATATTTTTTAACTAAATAAAGGCAATTTGATAAAAGTCAATATTTAAAAAACAAAAAACTAAGCTATGGGTAAAAAACAAGACTACAATATTTTAGGAAAGAAATCCTTTGACCAAAACATAAAGATCTGAGCTTTCAGTCACGGTAATGTCTAGAGATGCCAGGCAGATATTAAGTATTTAACCCTGGAGCAGTTTTACCCAGCATAGGACAATCGACAGCTTTCCCAGTTCACTAATTCCTACTAAAGTATTTTACCATGCTAGACTCTACACGAAATACAACTGTCATATGATCCATTTTGTTAATGATGACTACAATGGAACTCCAGTCAATTAATGAGTATCAGTGGCTTAAAGGCTACTGACCAGCTTAAATTCAAGTGTAGCATTAAATGTAACAAAACCCATGCAGTATATCTAATGAATAGATGCCTAAACTTATTTTAAAATAATGCATGCCAAAACTCAAAGTGTAATTTAAATAAAAGAATACCTTGAATAGCTGGGGGACAGATAATCAGTGTCTGCTGAAAAGCATCACCACAACCAAAATGAGCGGTTCCAGCCTGCAGAGGAATCCCGTGGTGCACAACTGAATGAGCAGATGTGGTTAATGCCTGGAAACAATTTATGGACATGGCATTCATTATACAGAGCAGGCTTCTAATAATTGCGTACACATGCTTTATAAGTAGAAATAAAATGCATTTTAAAAAACCATAATTCTGTGATAAAGACGGACCCAGAAATTGATCTTACTGAAGTCTACTTCTTGTAGGCTTGAGACACATAGAGCCGATAGATTGTATTGAAAGAATAAAAGGTGAAGGAAAAAAAATAAATTTGAGTAGATGTGTTCCAACTGTTACCCTCAAATATTAGAGATTTAATAGAACAGCCACAGTAAGACCTCATCAGCACTGGAAGTGCTAATATGGAAATTTATGCATATTTCAAAAGCAAAATGATTAATTGTTAAAGAAAAGAGAAGCAAAAATGACCAAAAACTGTTTGGTCTTACCTGACTTCTTAATGTGCCAATTTTAGTAAAATTTGCTGCCAAATTAGTAGTACTGCTTGGAGCAACTGGTCTTAAAAGTGAAGTTTTATTGTGATTATTTGCATCACATGAATTTGGATGGGACTTACAAATATCCATAATATGAAAACAGGACTTTACACTGCAAAATAAAAAGTAAACAGTAATGGTCATATTCTTTTTTAAATGTTTAGAATAGTTTAAGATTAAAAATTATTTTTAAAAGAAAAAACAAGTCGATGGCTTGCACTTAATTTGCAGATTTCCAATACTATGTCTACCAGGAAATCCTATAGGATGGAGGTCTGAAGCAAGCAACAGCAGATGCTTCTATCTGAAACATTTTCTTGAGACAGTAAAGCAACAGTGAGCACATTTTGGTGAGCACACTATAATTTGTGACCTCCATTTCATTTCGGGTATATATTCTTCTCCACCAACCCATTAAAAAACCTTCTTCCACAGGAAGAGAGGAAAGGGGGGTGGGGGAATGGAGGAAAAGAGCAAATGGTAAAGGGAAACTGAAAAAAGGAGTTTTTCAATTTGGAGTTTGCAGGACTCAAAATTGAAGGAGGAAAAACTTAACACTTTCTTTAATTATAAATATGTCCGGTCATTAAGGTAAGAATATTATGTAAAAATGCTATCACTCAGTCATTTTCAATATGCTATTTTGGAAAAAGAACACTGGACTGTGATTTAGATTTGCATTCTAGCTCTACTCTGCAATTTACTGTCCATGTGAACTTGGTCAAATTAGCTTAACCTCTTTTGACTCAGTTTACTTATATTTAATGAAGAAACTCAATCATTTTTCTAACAAACTGGTTTACTATAGACAGCATTATCATTTCTTCAGAATCATTTTAAAAGATTTTAAAGTAACATACTGGTTGCTATGAGGGAAATCAAGAAGATGCTTCATATTAACAAAAGCATGGTTCAAAGTCTCAGCTGGAGTAATTCTTAAATCTGCGTCAATCAGCAACATTTTTTTCAACAGACCAACAAACTCTCTTCTATCAGCTTTCTCAGCCAAAAGATCACTTCCTTCCAAATCCATCACTGTGTTCACCTGCAAAATCAAAATTTCAAGACATCAAATGAAAATAAACCATACAACATAGTATACATTAAAGTCTCACAATTAAAAAAAAAAACCTCAACACAGGAAAGAACAAAGAACTACAATTATTTTCAAATAAGAAAGAACACATCTCAAAAATATTTTGAGGTATCAAAAGGCATTCAAAAAGGGGAAAAAACTGCTTTAACTAAACAAACATTCAATTCTAGAGAGATGTAAGTAAAAGAAATATGTTTGCTAGGGTCTTCCTTTTTAAAGAAAATACTGAAGAACAGGATAATACAAATCAAATATTTGATAAAGATGAATGAAATTTAGTTTCTGAAACGTTAGAATCAATTTCATTTGACGAGCTTAAAAACAGCAAGCACTCTGTCATGTAGAAAATGATTAACATATTTTGGCATTCTTGGCATTCAAGTCCACCAATTTATATGCATGAAAAATTGACAAATGTGACTGTGGTACTCACATGCACTATATCATCCAGACTGTTGAATATGTACTTTCTGGCTTCTTTAGACTTCATTCCTGTCTCTGCCTCATGTTCTTCCAGTGTCTTATTGAATATATCAGAGAAGGAAAATATCTTATTACTACCATTTATAAATTCTTTATTTCTTCAATTCTGGCACATTTAGTCTAATATATTGACTATTCTAAGGCAAGTAGTAGTTTCAAAAGAATAACTGTCAAAATATAAGTTTTAAAAGTATATAGAAAATGAGACATTCAGGTTCAGGTCAAAAAATACATAGATAAAAATCACACACATAGATAAATTCCCTAACAAAATTACTAAAGTTAATCATTAAAAATTTACTGATCCTGGGAATAAATTACATACTTGGGTTACACAGTAAGTGATTAGGTTCAACCCTGTCCCATAAAGCTTGATAAATGTAGAGCTGGGTAGGGAAGAACTCAAAATGATACACATAAAATTTTTTAAACTATTTAAAATGCATTACTAATTGTGTTGCCAGGTTAGAGAATGAGCTAAGCTATTCAGAAAATCTCCTTATTAAAAGCGGGATTGGGGGATGGCAAAAAAGAAAAAAGAAATGTAATAAAATGAACACAGAGAGTATTATCCATGAAGGTAACACATCTTAGAAAACTGTTTTTCTAAATATTTTTTTAAGTGAGTTACCTTTAATCTCCAACCAGAATGGCAGAGATCTGTTTCTCTGCAAAAAAATCTTGTGGATTTTGTACCCACATTTAACAACTGTTCTCCTGGTAAACCTTGAGTCTGAGAAATGTATCGAATCTGAAAGATAATTTACAAAAGAGAAAAGTTATTCTTTTATTGCATTAAGACATTAATTGAAGAGCTATAATGTATCAGACACTAAGCTAGATGTTAGGTCAAGAATTAAATGATGTAGTGTGTGTGCCCTAAGAAATCAGTTTGCATGTATGCTAAGTTACTTCAGTCATGTGACCCCATGGACTGTAGCCCGCCAGGCTCCCCTGTCCATGGGATTCTCCAGGCAAGAATACTGGAGTAGGTTGCCGTGCCCTCCTCCAGGGGATCTTCCCAACCCAGGAATCGAACCCATGTCTCTTACTCTAGTGGAGAAGATAACAAGTAAGCGATTATAAAGCAGTGCAATATATGTAATACAGGTATAATAAAGGCATGCCGTATGAGAAGGCAAAGAAGAGACATATAAAATAACAGTAGTCATATAAAGTTCCAGAAGACGTGATGCTCAAATCAGGTAGTAAAGAACCAATAGTCTGTTAGCCCTGAAGGAGTGGGAAAATGTGATCTATTATGATATAAGGCTTCCCCGGTGGCTCAGACAGCAAGGAGTCCAGCTGCTAATGCAGGAGATGTGGGTTCAATTCCTGGGTCAGGACGATACCCTGGAGAAGGAAATGGCAACCCCCTCCAGTATTCTTGCCTGGGAAATCTCATAGAGGAGACTGGCAGCTATAGTCCATGGGATCCCAAAGAGTCAGACACAACTGACCAAGTAACACTTTCAAGGTCATAATATGGAAAATAAAAAGAATATATCCACACATTGAGAGACTGAGGTTCACTAAGTGTGAAATGGCAAGAGACGAAAATGATCTAGTAGGCAAAGGGCTTTATCGATAGGTTAAGAAGTTTGGATTTTAATCTGAGAGGTAATACTGGGAAGCCACTGGAGAAAGTGAAGAAATCTACACAGGAAATTGACAGCTACTTGACTCAGTAACAAGTTAACCTGACTGGGTAAATCAGGACTATGGGAACACCGAGGGCATGCACGCGTCTACGTCATGACATACGTGTGCTTGGGTCAGTAGGGAAAGAGACACAAGCACAGATGAGCTCTCTCAGGAGGACAGTGAAAAGCCTCAGGGCCTCTGAAGTTAACATCATTCTGTTTGAACACTCTTCCCCCATGCACCTGTATGGCTGTGTTTCGCTACCTTCAGCTCTCAGCTCAAATGTCACCTTCATTCATGAGGCCTTCCATGACCCACCAATAAATAAGGACAATCTGGCCCTCTTCAGTACCCCTACTGCCCTTCTCTGTTGTCTTTTTCTCCACAGTGTTTTTTACCATCTGACATTCTGCACATTTACCTTGTATTTCCTTATCAATTCTGCAGTAGAAGTAGGAAGGACGTTGTTCTGTTTCCTTACATATACACCCATGACAGTGTCTGGTACATCATTCAGTTCAGTTCAGTCATTCAGTCGTGTCCGACTCTTTGCGACCCCATGAATCGCAGCATGCCAGGCCTCCCTGTCCATCACCAACTCCCGGAGTTTACTCAAACTCATGTCCATTGAGTCAGTGATGCCATCCAGCCATCTCATCCTCTGTTGTCCCCTTCTCCTCCTGCCCCCAATCCCTCCCAGCATCAGGGTCTTTTCCAGTGAGTCAACTCTTCGCATGAGGTGGCCAAAGTATTGGAGTTTCAGCTTCAGAATCAGTCGTTCCAATGAATATTCAGAACTGATCTCCTTTAGGATGGACTGATTGGATCTCCTTGCAGTCCAAGGGACTCTCAAGAGTCTTCTCCAACACCACAGTTCAAAAGCATCTATTTTTCAGCACTCAGCTTTCTTCACAGTCCAACTCTCACATCCATACATGACCACTGGAAAAACCACAGCCTTGACTAGACGGACCTTTGCTGGCAAAGTAATGTCTCTGCTTTTTAATATGCTATCTAGGTTGGTCATAACTTTCCTTCCAAGGAGCAAGTGTCTTTTAATTTCATGGCTGCAATCACCATCTGCAGTGATTTTGGAGCCCCCCAAAATAAAGTCTGACACTGCTTCCACTATTTCCCCATCTATTTGCCATGAAGTGATGGGACCAGATGCCATGATCTTAGTTTTCTGAATGTTGAGGTTTAAGCCAACTTTTTCACTCTCCTGTTTCACTTTCATCAAGAGGCTTTTTAGTTCTTCTTCACTTTCTGCCATAAGGGTGATGTCATCTGCATATCTGAGGTTATTGATATTTCTCCCGGCAATCTTGATTCCAGCTTGTGCTTCTTCCAGCCCAGCATTTCTCATGATGTACTCTGCATATAAGCTAAATAAGCAGGGTGACAATATACAGCCTTGACGTACTCTTTTTCCTATTTGGAACCAGTCTGTTGATCCATGTCCAGCTCTAACTGTTGCTTCCTGACCTGCATATAGGTTTCTCAAGAGGTGGGTCAGGTGGTCTGGTATTCCCATCTCTTTCAGAATTTTCCACAGGTTATTGTCATCCATACAGTTAAAGGCTTTGGCGTAGTCAATAAAGCCAAAGTTTTTCTGTAACTCTCTTGCTTTTTCAATGATCCAGCAGATGTTGTCAATTTGATCTCTGGTTCCTCTGCCTTTTCTAAAACCAGTTTGAACATCTGGAAGTTCACAGTTCATGTATTGCTGAAGCCTGGCTTAGAGAATTTTGAGCATTACTTTGCTAGCGTGTGAGATGAGTACACTTGTGCGGTAGTTTGAGCATTCTTTGGCATTGCCTTTCTTTGGGATTGGAATGAAAACTGACCTTTTTCCAGTCCTGTGGCCACTGCTGAGTTTTCCAAATTTGCTGGCATATTGAGTGCAGCACTTTCACAGCATCATTTTTCAGGATTTGAAATAGCTCAACTGGAATTCCATCACCTCCCCTAGCTTTGTTCGTAGTGATGCTTTCTAAGGCCCACTTGACTTCACATTCTAGGATGTCTGGCTCTAGGTGAGTGATCACACCATTGTGATTATCTGGGTCATGAAGATCTTTTTTGTACAGTTCTTCTGTGTATTCTTGCCACCTCTTCTTAATATCTTCTGCTTCTGTTAGGTCCATACCATTTCTGTCCTTTATCGAACCCATCTTTGCATGAAATGTTCCCTTGGTAGCTCTAATTCTCTTGAAGAGGTCTGTAGTCTTTCCCATTCTGGTGTTTTCCTCTACTTCTTTGCACTGATCGCTGAGGACGGCTTTCTCATCTCCCCTTGCCATTCTTTGGAACTCTGCATAGTTGGCCCTAAAGTAACTGATCCCCCTCAAATATCTGTTCCCCAACTCAACAACTGGGCAGCACAGGAAATAAACAGAGGCTTAAGCCCTTGAAATTGTGTTTGAAAACATAGGGTTCTTTCTTTCAACCTAGAAGACAACTACTCTATCCTCTCCTGCATCTTCTATTTCTTCTTCTCTATGAGATTTTTGCCCTCAACCTACAAAAATGTTTAATATCTTCCAGCCTAAAAACAAAAAATTCCCTTAACTACTTGAAACATTTAATTGAGTAAGTCTTAAAATAATAATCTATAGTTTCCTTTTCATTATAAGCTCAACACACAACAATTGGAAATCTATTACTCTCACAAAACGATATTAAGGTAAGTGATGGCCTGTCATTAACTGAACATTTAATAGTTGAATATTAAACCTTATCTTACTTTAACACTATTAGCTATTATCTTTTCACTTAAAAAACTGTTCCTTTCATTTCCACATTATTCTTTTCTAGTTGTCTCCTTACTTTTTGGCACTCTTTAATTGCCTTCCTCCATAGCTTTTTCTCTAATTCTATTCTAAATATTTATCTCTAGCTCTAGAGATCTAACTGCTTAAGTGAAACTCTCCATCTGGAAGGCCTTTCAGTACCTAAAGTGAATACATCCTAAATGGATTTTTCTTAAACCTCTTAAAACCTCAGGTATTTCCCCTTTGATGATCACTATCACAATGCCTGAATCAGAAACCTGAAATTGATGCCTGACAAGTACCTCTCCCACATCACCCTCTTCCCAACAACCAGAACTCTTAACAATTTTATCTCATTTGTATTTTTCATAACTCTCCCTCCTCTCCATTCTTCTTCAGGTCTTCTTAAATTCTAGTTATACAGTCTCACAGTCTACAGCCTCCTAATTAGTCTACATGCTTCCCTAATGGGCTTCTCTGGTGGCTCAGTGGTAGAGAATCTGCCTGCCAATGCAGGAGACACACGCTTGATCCCTGGGTCGGGAAGATCCCCTGGAGAAGGAAAGGGCACCCACTCCAGTATTCTTGCCTGGAGAATCCTATGGACAGAGAAGCCTGGTGGGCTACAGTCCATGCAGTCCCCAACCCCAACCACTCATCCCCGAGTCATTATTCACATTGCCAAGAACAAGAAATTGCTAACAGCCATTTTGGTAAAATGTAAATCTGACTGTTACTCCCCAGTATAAAATTACTTTATTGCCTACAAGCTGGATTCCAAATCTCTAATCGGCATACAAGTCCCCCTGCCCCCCTTTATCTCTTCCCAGCTCTTCACACATTCCGTTATTCCAACCTCCTCCAGCACCTGCTGAACCTGGCATGCGCCAGTTTGTCTTGCTGAGATTGCTCTCTAACTCCTACTTATCACGTCCCTGTTCCTCTCCCTCCGGCCACTTCACTAAGCCAATGTGCTAATCTTTTACTCTTCCTTCTTCAAGACTCAATTCAAGAAATTCTCCTTTGTAAAACTATCCCTAACCAAAACACAGGCAATCATCTTCTTCTGTGCTACCACCACACCTGGAATATAGCAATTTTAATGCATTTATAATACAAAACAATTATTTTTACATGTCAGTTTTCCCTGCTAGAATATGTGCCTCCTGACAACAGTCTATGTTCATGTATATTTGTATCCCCAATTTTACATGAAATGATAATTAAAATCTTCATCTTACAAATTAGTTTCATTTCATTAAAGTGCAGTGCCTTTCCCTCACTCAGCATTCCAAGTGCCTGAGTTCCGTGTTTTATGGAAAGAGAAAATGAAAAGTACCCAGATGCTGCATCAGTCTCTCAAAGTAGGGAAGGTGGTCAACATATCAATTTCAACAAACATACACAGGGCATTTACTATGATAAAGACATGCAGATTAATAAAATATGGTGTCACTCTTCAACAGCATTAATTCAGTAAAATAGATAAATAGTTAAGCCCATAATCTGCAATTAAACTAGGAAGTGCCATTATAAAGGAGAAAACAAAGTGCTAAAAGAACCCAATAGAGCAGTTAACATACCTTAGAAGTAGAGAGAGCACTGAAAAAACAGCAAATGAACCTGCCAGTTAATTTTCGGTCCTAATGCCTGCCAGTCATTTTCATCGAGAACTTGTCCCACCCATCTGCCCCTCCCATTCGCAGCAGGATGAAGGGCAGGGATAGACTTAGAAGCAGTTTGCCTTGTGAACTCAACTAGAATTAAGCTAAGCAAATCAGATTTACAATGTCAGAAACATAAACTAAGAAACTCCAGACACCATTGAAGGATGAGCTGAAGGGCATAAAGCAGAGCTAGAGTTTGATGACTATGCTAACAACCAGAGTAAGCAAAAAATCTGAGTAGCAAGTTAGAATCAGAACAGATAAAAGCACTTACAGAGCAGCTAAATTAGACTCATGATCTAGCATCAAAGTGAAATTCTACCAATGCCTACTAATACTTCTAAGTGTTGCCATGAATCCAAAACCACCTTCAATTCCAGACTTCACAAAACCCAGGCAGAGTAAAGCTCATTCTTGAATTTATGTGATGGTCTACACATAAATGGGGCTTCCCTCACAACTCAGCTGGTAAAGAATCTGCCTGCAATGCAGGAGACTAGGGTTCAATCCCTGGGTCAAGAAGATCCCCTGGAGAAGGAAATATCAACCCACTCCAGTATTCTTGCCTGGAGAATCCCATGGACAGAGGAGCCTGGCAGCTGTAGTCCATGGGGTCACAAGAGTTGACACAACTTAGTGACTAAACCACCACCACACATAAATAAATGAACTCTTATTTGAGCCTACTTGAGAAAGCCTCTTTGAGACCTGAATAGCTTGACAAAATAGAATTCCTTAAAGATTCTCACCCCACCCTGGAATGGAAATAGGGAGCTTTATTTTTCTTATGTAAGATATAATTTGATATTACCAAGTGTAATAAAATTTGAATATAAATCCAGGCTTTTAGCCATTATGGATATGGTTCTATCTAAACTCTAACAAACATTCTGCAAGACCAATCAACATTTATCAAGTAAATACTGCCGTTCATCCATAAAAACATTATTTAATTTCCTGAACGATACTGACATTTTCCCCGTAAATATAAGTCAAACTCAGTACATACAGCACTAGTGAGACAGTGTGCCTACAATAAAGACAGGAAAGGATCCAGAGAACAGTACCAATTCATGAGGCAGCCGTCTCTATACAAACACAGTACATACAATTGTGTACGAACAGAAATAAATGCGTATGAGAAAAATATAATGCAAAAAATTCTTAACATGGTCAGTGGCAAGTTGTAGAATCCAAAATTCAAAGAAGTAATTGCCTTGGAAAGACTTCAAGAGATGACACAGACTATCAAAGGAACAGAACAGAAAGCTCATAATAAAGAATTAAAATAATCTAAATAGTTTTTCATAGTGACTCAAATTTGGCCTTGACGTATATTAACTACAGGTTTACCGTTAACTCTCTTTCACCTCTTCTGGAAAAAAACAATGGGTTAGAATGTTAAATAAAGATTACATGAAAGACATATTAACAAGAGTTAAGAAACAGGTATCACAACACTTCTCATAGAAGTGTTTATTTTTGTAAATGTTTCACATGCACTTAAAATAAATGTAACCTGCACTTTTGCATGTAGTATTGGGCGTAGTACTCTATGCCTGTATTAGTGGATCAGCTTGGTTAATCATGTGTTCAAATCATTCATATTCTTACCAACTTTTTTCTATCTACTTTCTCTATCAATTACAGAAAGAAATGCACTGTAAATCTCTACTTATGATTATGGTTTTGTTTCCCTTTTTTTGGTTCTATCAACTTTGGCTTATAATATTTTGAAGCTGTTGAAAGGGATATAAAATATAGAATTTCTGTGTTTGTGATGAATTGAATCTCCAAATTAATTGGCTGGGCTTCTGCTCTTTATAATCAATACTGATATATTTGTAATATAAGAACACTCCTGTTGTTAAAAGCAATGTTATTATTAAAAGCAAAACAGAAGAATACCTAGTACAACATACAACTTGAAAGAGAAATATTTGTACAAAATGTTATCACAAGGAAAAATGATAAACTAGCAGAGGCTGCTGGCTCCTTCCCTGGAACGCACAGCTGGAGACAGAATGCCAGCGGCGGCTGACGAATCTGAGAAACTAACATAGAGAGAGTGAAAGCCCCCCTGAGTGAGAGCAGATCACAGCGGCAGGGTGGGGGGGGAGTCTTGCAGGAGGGCCAGGGAGTGAGGGCGGACCGCAGGAGGGTCCGGCTGACTCTCGCTGCCGTCGAGCACCACTGCCCGTGGCGCAGCGCAGAGGCGGCCTACCGCCGACAGCACAGCTTCTGGCCTCAGACCACCTGTTACTAGACCTGCAGTTATTCAGCTTCCCCACACCGTGGCTTCCTCATCTGTAAGACTTCATAGGGTTGTTGTGAATATTAAATGAGTTAAAGTGTTGACAGTTTCTGGCACATAAAAGAATTCAACAAGTATTAATTAGTAATGTCACTACTACTGCCCACTGCACTGCCACTGAAAGGCAAAAAATAAGCTAAAAAAAATAAAATAGCAACAATGCCCCAAATGGATATCCAAGTATATCACAGTAGCTGGTGCCTAAAACAGGAAACAGGTAACAGAGAGAGACATGCCCTTTCACATCCTGAGTAGATGATCATAGTCCAAGGAACTGAGGAAAGTTTATGAAATTCAACCACATAAAGTAAAAAAAAAAAAACAAACAAAAAACAAAAAATGCCACTCACATGAACATTTTAATGCAAAAATGCATTTCAGAGTCCAAAACCAATTTAGGATAAAAAATAAAACTTCAAATTAGGAAGACAAGGGATAGCCCTTATATTGCAGGATAGCCCTAAAAACAGACGTTTATCAAAACCAAGCAAGCATCATATTTGAAAATGAGTATGAAGTCTAAGACTGGAACAACAACAACAAAATCATCACTCCTACTGGTTTGCACACATTTATTTTGGAAAATAACTTTTAAAATACTGGGTTGAAACTGTGTAACTATTGATGCTGTATGCTAATAACTTTTTTCAATTATTATGACCTGTTGGAATTAAAATGATACACATTCTGAAAATATTGTTAATCTGGATCGATAATTTTTTTTCTCACTTTCGGTTTTTTTAAATTTATTATAGATTTTAGAAAAACTGGATTTATAGGTTCCTTTTCAGTATCAACATGAGTTGTCCAAGATTAACTATAACGTCCAAATTCGGAGTAAAATAGCCAATCGACCTTTGTACTTCCACTAGATGGTGTCCTGTTCCAGAGTACCATGCATGCCATAAATTGGTCCACAAAGCCAAAGGTGTATTTCCAGCATTTGACAGGTTCCTCAGTACTTCAGCAGCTAAGGCATTATGGGACTTTTCAGCCAGATCATTAATTCTTTCAAAACTAGTTAGCTTGGCATCTGAACCAAAGTTAATGATTGGGTTAAAAGATGAAGGAAGGTAAAAATCTATGGAAATTTTTACAGAAATGGTCTTTTAAGAGGTATGTTGAACAGGGAGAGGGAGTATTAAAGAAAGTATTAAGAGTATTAAAAACAAAACAAAACAAAAAACCTGGCCTAAAAGAAGTTTCATGGGTAGAAAGTCTTTGGAAGAGGATGAGATTAAAGTTAACAATAACATCTAATAATTAATATTAAATGATTTTTAGAGTCATCTCAGCAACATTTAAGTCACTAAATTAACTACCTCTCATATCCCCTTTTATGTAGAAAGCTAAACCCTAGAAATCAGGTATCTTGCTACAGTATGTATGTGTGCTTTTAAAATGTTCTACCTTCCTATTTTTTCATATAGAAAAGTTAAATAGTATATCATTTAAATAAAAATATAAGCCAAACAAAATTTATGTAACCCTTGTAAATTCTGACTAATATTTTTCACTAAAATATGAGTTGAGTATATATCTCTCTAATAAGGGAGGCATGCTATAAAACCTTTTCAAAAAGTGAAGAAGACAAGTACTTCAAACGACAATCCTGATAATAAAAACCAAGAGAATAGCGAACAATATTGTCTAGTAGCTTAGAAAGACTAATGAACATACCTGAAAACCACCATGAAACGTGTATGAGGTGACCCGCTAGATTCTATGAAGAATCATTTCAAATAATCTTAAGCTAGACTTTTAGCACCATCAAGAACAGTGAAAAATACTAAAGAGGGGTCAGATGACTGAGTTATTTAAGACCAACAAAAGGTGCTGGCTCAAGACCAGTAGTTATGATGCCTTTTATTTCTTGGGACAGGTTGAGATTTCATCCATCACCAAAATCTGTCACCCAGGCAAAGCACTATTATTTAAATGGACACAGTCCAGCCCTTTGTGTATATACCTACAATATAAAAATTGGGACTAAAAAACATTCTCCCCAGAGGTTTACAAAACTGGTTTTCAGGTATGTGGATTACAACTTTGTTTATGAAATTACAACTTTATGAAAACACTTTAAAAATCAAATCCTGTTTTGAGATCTTGAATTTCCGTAACATCCCAGGTTTTGCCATTTTATTCTAACAAGAGTTTCACAAGTATTGTATGCCTGGGGAAATGCATTCCTATAAGTCTACTGTCTTTCTTTACATTCTACCAACTCCACTGGATTATGTAACAGTTCTGTTACCTGGTCGTACTCCAAGGCTCCCGGGTAGAGAGGCCATCCAAGGAATAACTCTGCAATCACGCATCCCAGTGACCACATGTCTATGGCTTCACAAAACGGCAACCCCAATATAATCTCTGGAGCTCTGAAATTCAAAAAATTTAAAAAATGACTGTAAAATTATCCAATTCATCTGATATTCAAAGAAAAGCTCATAAAATCAGAGAGAAATCATCTATTCACAGTAATTCATCATTTTTCAGAACTCTTTCAAACCTAACAATAATCCTGAATTAAATTTAAAGGGATGCTATGAGTACAATGGGGAGCTTCCTTGGTGGCTCAGCAGTAAAGAATTTGCCTGCAGGAGATCCAGGTTTGATCCCTGAGTCGAGCAGATCCCCTGGAAAAGGAAATAGCAACCCACTCCAGTATTCTTGCCTAGAAAATCCCATGGACAGAGGAGCCTGGTGGGTTACAGTCCATGGGTCACAAAGAGTTAGACACAATTTAGCAACTAAACAACATGAGTACAACATTGCTATGATGAAATAACTACGCTTAATCTAAGTTTTATTAACATGACAGTAAAAAAAAAAAAAGGAAAAGCACAGATCTTGTTTTTTGAGACTACAGCAGAAGTAACACACTAGAAAGAAAACTGTATTCTGCCTTAAAGGGCAGAAAAATACAGAGAACATCAAAAAATTAAAATGCATTTTAGCACGTAAAGAGCTTTGATTATCTGGAAAATGTATTCCATGAAAGATACAATTCTCAGATAAATTATATTACTATTTCCATGACTTTCCCATAAGAAAACTGACATTCTAAGAGAAGTTTCACATACAGTTCTCTAATTCCAAAGTCATACAATCACGGTTATCCTGAACAATTTCAATGGTACAGAGAAGTTATAAAAACAGTACAATACATACTTTTTCCTAGTCCACTTGAGAGTAATTTGCCAAATAATAGCATGCTTTATATTTCCTACATACAAGATTCAGTTCAGTTCAGTTCAGTCTCTCAGTCGTGTCCGACTCTTTGCGACCCCATGAATCGCAGCACACCATGCCTCCCTGTCCACATACAAGATTACTCTCCTAATAACCACAATACAATCATCAAAAGTCAGGAAACAAATAGTGATACATTTTCACCAGCTAAGCCTTGGACTGCAAGTTGGGCCAATTGCACAGATAATGTCCTTCATGGCAAAAGAACCCAATTCTGAATCATGTACTGCATTTAGCTGTCATATATCTTTAAGTCTTTTCCAATATCGAAGAATCCCTCAAGTGTTTCCTTGATTTCTATGACCTGGCATAAGATTCCTGAGTATGGGTCTATCCGACATCATCTTATCATTAGATCCAGGTTATAAATCTTTGGGAGAAATGTTTTAAAAGTGATGGTTTTTCTTCCTCATTACATGCTATCAGGTGGCACAAAACTGATTTGCAGCACTACTGATAATATTCACTTTGATTACTTGATTAACATGGTGTAGATTTCTTCACTATCAAGTTTCTTCTTTCCCCTTTGTAATGAAGTTTTTTGTGGGGCTTCACTTTCAGGCTGGAATCCAATTTCAATTTATCCATTTATTTACCTATGTAAGTATAATGGATTCCTATTTTATTCAATGGGTTATAATTCATTACTGTAATTACTTACTCTGATGTGCTAAATTCCCAGACTTGACCAGTCGGAACTCTTTCAATGAACAACATGGGTCCTCATGACTGCTGAGGTGGCACTGTTCCCAGGATCTCTCAGTATACTTATTTAATACAGTTACAAAAATCCTTCTGCCAACCTTTTTTTTTTAAACTTAAGAGTGCTGATTGTCATATCTCCTAATGCAGTGGTTCTCAATCTTGGCTGCACATTAATTTTTGTGCTGACCACACCCATACCAATTAAATCAGAAACTCTGAGGATGGGACAAAGGCATCAGTGGTTTTTAAACCTCTCCAGCTGATTCTAATACATGACAAAAGTGGAGAACCAAAACCCTAGACTCAACAGTTAAACCCAATGGAAAGACGATTCCATCTCCTCCCTACAGTTCTTCTGTTCGGAGTAAGTTCAAAAGATAATAAATTGTTTGCTACCATAGATTTGGAATCTATTGACTCTACTGAATATCTCTGCTATAATTAATATTTAAGATTCAGTACATTCTTAATCTACAGTACTTGTTAAAAACAAGTAAGTGTCATGGGGAGATGCTAAGAGGAATAAAAGAACCTTAAAACATAGTTATAAAAAGCCTTCACTCTTTTGACGTATACACGTAAATTATATAATCAAATGCTAAACTGTACTACAGAAAGAAATGGCTTAACTTAAATTATATTTATTATCATATTCACAAGATTTTATCCTTTTTTGTTCACTATTTTATACACAGAACATAGCAGAAGATATGCACTCAATAAACATTTCTTAAGTAAGTCATGCCAACACAGGTTGATTCACACAAAGGAAACAAAGCATCAGTGTGAAAATGTGGATCTGAACTAGGCATCAGAAGCATAAAAGTCTAGGCAGAAAGAGAGAGAAATGAGCACAAGAGTTTATAAAGTATATACTAACCTATACTTCAAAAGGTTCAAAGCAAAAGGCAGCTAGTTTCAAAAAGTATGGAGTAAATGAGATTCACTAGTAATAGTTAATCATATATTAATCTGAATCCTAAAGACTTGCCAGTAAGACTAATAGAGCTATAGCTGTGTGTAAGGGCTTCATGGTTATTTTGAAATAATTAATACAAAAAATTCACAAGACTTGAAATGGACCACTATAGAAAATTTCAACACTGTATTCGGTAATGCAAGAAAACTAACAAAATGATAGTATTTAGGATGTACAACTTAAAGAGACAAAAATTTCTTGAAATTTGGTCAACAATTAAGAAAAAAGTTCTGTCAACAGGACAAAGAGTGATGAATTCTTTCTGCCATTTACTACCATTTAGTGAGTGAGCCACTTTGACCATGATAAGAATACAGACTTATCTTTTAAAAATCTTGATTACAAATTGTAATAAACCACTTCAAACACAAAATCTAAGATTCAAAAGAGTTATATTTAGGGAAGCAAACTCAAATGTCTCATTTTTAAACAAGAATTTTAATTGCAAGTTTTATACAAACTCATTATGTATTACTGCATCAGTTTAAAATCCTGAGAAGCAGATGAGATATGCAAAAAATTTCTTGGGGAGAAAATGTCTCTGAAAGATACAGAGGGAGATGAAGCAGGAGTAGGTGAAGAGAGCCTCAGACCTCGAGCGGTTCTGCCAGCTGTGAAAGGGGGCAAAGGAAGAATTAGAACTTCTACCCGACAGCAGTGCTGTTAAGAGAAAGAGTCTTGGCAGGTCAGTGGGGAGTCTCTAAGCAAAAATCATCTGCTAGAGCAGGTCGCCATCAAACTAGAACAGCGTAGCTCTAGCGCCCCCAGTGCGTTTGGTCATTGGCTGGGAGCAGCCCAGAAGAATGGGCCTGTGCCCAGCACTGATGCGTTATCTAAAAGGCACAACAGGTGGAGGCTGTCAGTTAACTGCTCTTCACAGGAGGTTCTCTTGAAGTGGATCCGAATGGCACAATTCCAAGGCTGCCACAGCCATCTTCCCAAAAGCTTTTGTATTTTATTTTGTAAAACATAAATATCATAAAGAAAATGCAATACATTTCTTCACCAAGTCTGAGTCAAATGTACTCAAATTCTCCCCAGTTTACCAGGGCATACCACAAAATGTTACATTTTCTATCTGTATCATTACATGTGAAAAAGTGAGGAAGCAACACCTTCAAGCATTTACAATCTAGATGAAACTGCCAGAGATATCAGAGCTCAGCCAGCCAGTCTTACTATACAATAAATTTTAAAAATCAAACTATTCACCAAAGAATAATATATCCATCTGTCACTTAATGAATAAAGCTTAGTTTTCTGAATATATCTTAGCTGGCTCTCAAATTATTTCTCTGGGCTAAATATACTTTTGAATATAAATGACCATAGCAGAAAGTCTCATTTATGGATGACTCTCAAAATAAACCTTGTGTTCCACACCTAAACCTAAAGGAAATTCTTCCACTTCTTTTCTTATCCACCTTAACTCCCTTCTGAGCATCTGTAATGTGAGCGGTGTGCCAAGGATATAGCAGGGAACAGACATCATGTGTACTTCTGTAGACAGGCAAGGCACACATTAAACACGTCCACTGGATGGAGAGTATAACTAAACCACTTAACCACTCTATAAATAATAACACAATTAGAAGGCAATTGTCAAATCCACAAACAAACTCAAAATTTTAGGTTATACGGTAAGAAAGGCTATGCATAAAATGCCATGTTTCCTTTTTTGCTATGTGACTAATAAAACTTATCAATATTCATTAAAACCAAGTCCTTTTTACTTTTCTAAAGCCTTGAAATGCTGATATAAAATCTAGGTAAAGTGGGTAAGCTAAAAAAAAATGTTTTTAAGTGGGTAAACTAAACTCTGAATGGTCTGTGGGTCTTTTGCTAGAGAACTCAAAAAGAATGTTAGCAGTGGATAGTTCAAATAAGAACATGGTGACATACTGTCACTCAGAAAAGATGACTATTAATTGAACATTCTACTTTATTTCATTTTTATTTAAGTTGAAAATTCAACTACTGGCAGAGAAACCTAGCCCTGTTGGGAAAAAGGATGTCTCAGTTCAGGAACTCGATATGTCAAGTTTGAGGAACAGTTATATATTCTTATAAGAGAAAGATGCCCTGGGTTATCCTGGCAAATGCCATTAGGCTATGATCATGCGATGATTTCAAGGCCATCAAGAAAGTGGTGACCATGATACGGCTCCTAACCTGATTTTTCAAATACAGATAATACAACAGTTAGGCCAACTTGATTCTTTAGCCTGCCTAATATTTCTCACGAAAGTTAATTTAAAAAACTAGCATAATGTTGATATATTTCAGTTTCTTGAGAGTTTAGTGACAGGAACAACCCAGGTCTGGTTAAGTCTAGGACACTGATCAAGAAATTTCTGAAATGACAAAACTAAGGGCCGGATTCTGATGATTCTGTCAGGGATGTCACTCAGTAAAAATGAGAGCTACAGCTTTCCAGGCTTC